TTGTCGCCAGAGGGGGTGTAGTTCTGCAAAAACTCAGAGACTTGCACAATGCACCTTTAAACAATCGGCCGATAGTGAAAATAATACCGATAATTAGCCGATACGTCGGCGCATCTCAAATCATACAGGCTATTGTTTGACTTATGTCTATTTTTATTACCACAAATCAAATAAGACTACTCAATTATCAAGTTTTGAGTGATCGGATCACAAAGCGTTTACAGAAGGCTGATGTGGACAACCACGACACCCAAAGAAATCCATACCATAATGGTTTATACCATAAATACCATTGCAGGTATGCAAAAGGACATTATAATATATTACGGGGAAACGACAAATCTTCATTACCCTTTTCGGCTGAGCGTCACTTTGGCATTTTCAAACACAGCTTATGACATAATGACTGACGACTGAAGGTTTTCCCAGCTCTCTGTTCATTAAATATAGATTAGCTCCTTTCTGAAGTGTTCAATGCCTCTGATAAATGACCAAACTCTGATGAAAAACACAAAAAACTACAAGGTGAAGTCTTATGCACAAGCGTATTAAAAATTCAAGCTCGGTGCTGTGAAATACACACGATTCAGAATAGTAATATCAGAAATGTGCGCATTTAAACAACTGTTGCAGTGAATAAATAAAACTCCTACACAGTTCTTACTGTGCTTTCTATGTATCTGATCAGAACAAATATCTTGTTAAACAAACCATTTGTTTGTAAAGCAAGGGCTCAGTTTCATGCGTAATAAACACGTTCCTTAAGTGTCACCGGCCGGCCCAAATCCATTACATTTTTAAAACCGTAGGCTATACTAAACCTAAACTAATCTTGACAAACTATATATCATTTGAAAGCTATAGTTTCCATATTTGGTGATTGACTAAAATCAAAATAAATCACAAAGGGGCCATAATTTATTAATTTGCAACAAGAATATTTTCATACTCCTAAGGCATGTTCAGACCTTTATTTTGAAATAGTGATGAACGTGAAAATTATGAAAGAAGGGTAGAAACCTCAGTTTGTTTTTATGTCAAGTGTTCAAAAGATAGCATCCATTCAATTATTTTAGAAAAAAAGGTCTGAAATTTTTCATTTTCATAAACTCAAACTTCTATAACTTTTTTTCTGTTTCACTTTCTTAATTTTTTTCACTTCTTCAAAAGTTCCTCTTTAAACCGAGACCAATTTTATGTCTATATTCCAAAGCATTCTTGAATTACAACCATTTAAGTTCGAAATGTGCATTTTCATGTATATTCAAAAAATGGGGGGTGACACTTAAAGGGTTAAATAACAAAATAAACAACTAAAATGACCACGGCGGTGAGAAAACATCAGTTCAGAAAGCATCAGATCATCGCGATGTGGAAGTTTGCACAAACTCTTCAATTCGGCAGTCATGTCATGTTTATTTATACAACACTTTATACAATAGATTATATAAAAACATGCAGCTTTACAGTATTAAACTTTTTTTTAAAGTGTCACTGTCGCTTTCAATTACAACTTAATTTTCTACTATAAAACATCTTCAGTGTGTTCATGTTTAGGAAGTCTGATTTCGAGGGACTGAACAGGAGAAATCAAAGAAGGCGGAGCCTCAGAGCCACACCCACCTATGACATCATCACCAAGGACCAATCGCAGTTTGAAGGCGTTTACCAGCTGGAGTAAACACTTCACTTCAGCAAACTACATGTTGGCCTGATTTTGTTAAAAATACATTACCAGTTCGTTCTTTGATTTCGCTTGAAGTATATTGAGGGCTTAAAGCACGTAACAAGCGGAAAATGAGTATAATGTTGGGTTTGATGACATGATGAAAAAGCATATTTTGCTAAAATTGCATCATCAAAGTACAAAGCAGCACCAGCAAAAAGTATTTGCCAGACCTTTCTAAATGTTAATGTTTCTTTGATCATTTATCATTAGGACGCTTGACTGTAACGTGTCCTCTAAAGGCTTGGGGTTTTAATGATAAGATCTAGTATGTGACCTAAAAGGTGCAGCAGTAGGAAATATCCAGCACTGAACGTCTCTTCTAACCAGTGTCTGGTTCCTACGGTGTGTTATTGAGCTGGACAGATGCCAGACAGGGTCAGATAAAGATATCACAACACTGAAGACAGCAAGACATGGACTGAAGTGATCCTCTACCTCACACAAAGATCCTTATCCACGACGGATAAATGAATAAAAACGAGAGAGTGACAATCTATACATTATGCACCTAAAAAATGTGTTGGTATTTTTCTCCAAAATTCTATTTCTTTTTCTTCTTGATTTCATTTTAACAACAAATTTTTGGGCCCTATGAAATCTGTTTTTTTAATGCATTCGATTTTAATGGTTAAATAAAATTTTAGTGATCAAAAAGCATGTCTAATTCACTGAAATCAAAAAACATAAATAATTTAGCAAAAAAAAAAGTATAATAACTTTTAGGGCCCTATGAAATCTATTTTATTTTTTTGTCCCAAATTCAGTTTAAGGGTTACATTACAAAAAAGTCTAATGATCAATTCATAAAACTTTAAGTTTAATAGTTAATTAAAATTTCTATAGTAAAATGTTTAAATGTTTTACAGTATATATATATATACACACACACACATATACACACACATATATATATATATATATATATATATATGAAGAGTTCAGATGCAAAAGCGTCTAAATGCCATTTGAAATTTTCTTCTAAAATGACCATTTTTATCAAGCTTGTATATTTAAGTTCAGTAATTTCACTTAAATAACAATTAATAGGTAGTCTTCATTGCCATTTAAGTGAAATTACTGAACTTAAATATACAAGCTTGATAAAAATGGTCATTTTAGAAGAAAATTTCAAATGGCACTTAGAGGCTTTTGCATCTGAACTCTTCATATATATATATATATATATATATATATACACACACACACACATATATATATATATATATATATATATATATATATATATATATATATATATATATATATATCTAAAGAAAATGTGGCAAACAAAGTGCTGCAAAATAGTTTACTGATAGTGATATTCCTTAAAACAAAACAAAATGATAATAATTGGATTATTACTCTTACTATTGCTACTACTATCATTTTAGAGTTATTATTACTTTGAGAAGTACATTGTAGTGTACAATAGTAATGTATTAGCCACAATTCTGAAGATTCCAGGATTCCATCAGTAAATTCCATTTTTATGACTCCATTTTTCATATTCCATGGAAACCATAGGGCCCTGTTGCAGAAAGAATATATGAGCAATGGGATCAAGTGTGTGTGAGCAGTAAAGCTGTGCAGACTACCAAGATGAGGACTCACGGGTCGCAATTTGAGTGTTTTTTTGTTTTCAAGTTGTATTCTCCAGTCTGCTCTCTCATTGATGCAGTCAGATGAAAGCATTTTAATTGCACATCTGTGAGCAGGAGTGAAATAGCAGAAACAACAAACAGGAAAATTCATTCCGGTCACATAGATTTGGATGCATATTAACAACAACAAAAAGAACAGTTCTCTCTCTGTACACAAGTTTGCTTTTGGATATTTGCTTTTAGCAGGTAAATCAAGAAAATGTCTTATTTATTGCACTGGCCATAAAGTGTGTGTGTGTGTGTGTGTGTGTGTGTGTGTGTAAAAGCATGTATTTTATAATATTTGAGGGAAAATAAAATTCTAAATGTGATTTATGTGATTGTATTCAAGGTGTTGTGTTGTGCTCCGTCTCTGGGTGGTCATTTTCAAACAAACAAAAAAATTTCCCCCAGCCTTATGGATTAATAATAAAAATACATGCCTACCCTCCATCATACGACATAAGAGAGAAATCAAATAAACAGTGTGTATTCTGGGAGAGCCATTAAATGTGTTGCTCTGATAGCTATAAAATGCTGAATCTGACCAGCATCTACACAGCACGCCGGCAGCAAATGAAGCGAAAAAATAATACACTAATTTGCATTATTATGGGACCCGTGAGGCCGACAAGAGAAAATAGCCTCTGAGACGCTAATGAGGAAAGATAAGGGCAGGTTAACATGGGGTAATGAGATATAGCATGTGCCATCCCTTCCGTTGATACCGAGACCCAACACTTATCATTCAAACCTCACCTTTGACTGTAGTTGGGATCAAATCAACATGGAAGAAAAACAGGAAGAAAACAATGAAGAAAGAAGAAAGGAAAGGGGGAAAGTGAATAATGACATTAAAAATGGAGAAGAAGAAGATGTGATGATGGAGAGGATGAGGAAGGGAAACAGAAGAAGATTATGATGGAGAGGAAGAGGAAGGGAAAACAGAAGATGATGATGATGATGATGATGGAGAGGAAAAAGAAGAGGAAAGGAAAACAGAAGATGATGATGATGAGAGGAAGAAGAAAAGGAAGGGAAAACAGAAAAAGAAGATGATGACAAAGACGAAGGAAGGAAGGAAGGAAGGAAGTCTCAAAGATGAAGGAACTTAACAGGAAGAGGAAAAAGAAGAGGGAACAATATTAGGATGGATTGATGGATGGAAACAGGAAGAGGAAAAACCGAAGACTATGTTTGTATGGATGGATGGATGGATGGGTGGATGGATGGATGGGTGGATGGATGGATGGAAACAGGAAGAGGAAAAACCGAAGAGTAAGAATGGATTGATGGATGGAAACAGGAAGAGGAAAAAAGAGGGAGGATGTTAACATGAAGAAGAGAAAAGGGAAAATTAATAATATGAAGAAGTGAACATGGATGGATGGAAACAGAAAGAGGAAAAACTGAAGAGTAAAGATGGATGGACGGATGGAACCAAGACGACGAAGGAAAGAAAAATGGGAAAATGAGAAAATGTAATAGGAAGGAAGGAAGGAGGAAAGGAAGGAAGGAAGGAAGGAAGGAAGGAAGGAAGGAAGGAAGGAAGGAAGGAAGGAAGGAAGGAAGGAAGGAAGGAAGGAAGGAAGGAAGGAAGGAAGGAAGGAAGGAAGGAAGGAATTAAGGAAGGAAGGAAGGAAGGAAGGAAGGAAGGAAGGAAGGAAGGAAGGAAGGATTGAGTATTGATTCTTTTAAGCTGCGGAATATTTTAGAGGTTTTTTTTTTTTTTTTTTGAAGGGTATTACTGAATATATATATTTTTTACTGATTTCTTAAGTTGTCAAATTGATATATTCCATGTCACTTTTGTCTTTATTCTTCTTTATTTATGTTTATTTTATGTTTTTTGTGGTTATGTTTATTATGGTTCCCATGAGTGTAAAACAAATTCCCCTTTGGGGCAATAAAGGTTTCATTCATTCATTCAAGGAAGGAGGAAAGGAAGGAAGTCTCAGAGATGAAGAAAATTAACAGGAAGAGGAAAAAGAAGAGGGAGGGGGTTAACAGGAAGAAGAAGAGAAAAGGGAACAATAATATGATGCTGATGGATGGAAGAATAAGAGAACATGGATGGACGGATGGATGGAAACAAGAATAGGAAAAAACGAATAAGGATGGAAACAGGAAGAGGAAAAACTGAAGAGTAAGGATGGATGGATGGATGGAAACAAGAAGACAAATGAAGGGAATAAAAATGAAAAAAAAATGTAATGTGGAGAAAAGAAGGAAGGAAGGAAGGAAGTCTCAAAGATGAAGGAAATTAACAGGAAGAGGAAAAAAGCGGGAGGATGTTTACACGAAGAAGAGAAAAGGGAACAGTAATAATATGAAGAAGAGAACATGGATGGATGGATGGAAACAGGAAGAGGAAAAAGTGAAGAGTAAGAATGGATGGATGGGAACAAGATGACGAAGGAAGGGAATGAAAATGAGAAAATGTACTATGGAGGAAGGAAGGAAGTCCCAAAGTGAAGGAATTGAAGGAAATGAAGGAAATAAACAGAAAGAGGAAAAAAAGAGGAAGGGGGCTAACAGGAAGAAGAAGAGAAAAGGGAACAATAATATGATGGCAATGGATGGAAGAAGAAGAGAACATGGATAGATGGATGGATGGAAACAGGAAGAGGAAAAGCGAAGAGTAAGGATGGATGGATGGGAACAAGAAGACGAAGGAAGGGAATTAAAAATTAAAAACTGTAATATGGAGAAAAGAAGGAAGGAAGGAAGGAAGGAAGTCTCAAAGATGAAGGAAATTAACCGGAAGAGGAAAAAAGCGGGAGGATGTTAACACGAAGAAGGGAAAAGGGAAGAGTAATAATATGAAGAAGAGAACATGGATGGATGGATGGAAACAGGAAGAGGAAAAGCGAAGAGTAAGGATGGATGGATGGGAACAAGAAGACGAAGGAAGGGAATTAAAAATTAGAAACTGTAGTATGGAGGAAGGAAGGAAGGAAGGAAGGAAGGAAGGAAGTATGGACGAGACAGAATAGAAAATCAAATCAACACTGTGTGGCATTAAAAAGGTTTGATTGAAAGGAAGTCATGATCTCAGAACTTGGACTAGATCACATCCAGGTTACCGGCATTCCTCACTTTACTGAATCCCTGAACACAACAGCCCATCCAGACACAAGACAGCAACACACAGATGGGTTTCTACTTTCTCTTAACCTCAGTAAACAACTACTCAAGAGACCCAAGAGTTTCTGACACTGGTTTGATGTTCACATTGTTCCACCAGAGATTACAGCTAGTCCCGCTCTCAGAACAAAACCATTACACCATCTTACCCATAAAATATCTCAAGTGCAAACTGCCAACATTGTCCATTGTAAATGTGCAACTAATCAGAGCAACAAAGTAGTAAGATTTGTCCATGTGTAACAAGTTTGAGTTTTCCAGACACTCAATCCTGCGACAGCTTGGCCTTTAGGCAGGTGTTCAATCACACAACCTGAGGACGAGGAGCAGGGCAACAATAGAAAACGTGGGAAATGGCGTTGTGTGTCGAGGGAGGATAAACGGCGTGTGATACGCGTCTTTGGACCGGAGCCATGGTAATTACTTCACTGGGGGTTGCTGGGTTGGCATCATCTCACGCTCTTTCGGTCGAAGTGTTTGCCAACAGTGCCAGTAAAAGTGACTACACCAGCTGTCCAAACACGAGGAGGGGGTTCGACCGGAGACCCTGCGCATGTATTTCAAACTGATTGCAATGTCACTATATTCTACCAGCATTGTCCATGTGCTAAGAGCACAGCTTAAAGCAACAGTTCGCCCTGAAACGAAAAGGATTTAACCAAAAGATGCAAAAGCTCCACAAAAGTATCATAAAAATGATCCATATGACTTACTGTTCAATGTCTTTGTGTAAAGGAAAGACCCAGGTTTAGGTGAAAGACCCTGTACACCTAATGGTTGAAAGATGAGGGGGTGCCGTGTGTCAGGATGATAATGCACTAATACACACAGCAAGACTTCTGACAGAATGGTTTGATGAATGTGGAAGTGAAGTTGATCTCCCAAGGCCTGCACAGTCACTAAATCTGAGTATTATCTGAGTGTTATTGAGCCATGTTTGGGTATTTGGAGAAGCGAGTCAGAAAACGTTTTCCTCCACCAGCATCACAAAGTGGCCTGGCCACTGTTCGGATGGACGGATGCAATAGGAAGAGGACAAAAAAAGAGGAGATGGCGAAGGAAGGAAGGAAGTCTCAGAGATGGAGTAAAGGACATGAACAGGAAGAGGGAAAAGTGGGATGGATGGATGGATGGATGAGGAAGAGGAAAAAAGAGGAGATGACGAAGGAAGGAAGGAAATCTCAAAGATGGAGTAAAGGAAATGAACAGGCAGCGGAAAAAGTGAAATGGATGGATGGATGGATGGAACAGGAAGAGGAAAAAGAGGAGATGACGAAGGAAGGAAGGAAGGAAGGAAGGAAGGAAGGAAATCTCAAAGATGGAGTAAAGGAAATGAACAGGAAGAGGAAAAGGTGAAAAGGGTGGATGGATGGATGGATGGATGGATGGATGGATGGATGGAACAGGAAGAGGAAAAAGAGGAGATTATGAAGGAAGGAATGAAGGAATGAAGGAAGGAAATATCAAAGATGGAGGAAATGAAATGAACAGGAAGAGGAAAAAGTGAAAAGGATGGATGGATGGATGGATGGATGGAACAGGAAGATGAAAAAAGAAAGACAAAAGTGAAAAGGATAGATGCATGGAACAGGAAGATGAAAAATGAAAAGGATGGATGGATGGAACAGGAAGAGGAAAAAAGAGGAGATGACGAAGGAAGGAAGGAAGGAAGGAAGGAAGGAAGGAAGGAAGGAAGGAAGGAAGGAAATCTCAAAGATGGAGTAAAGGAAATGAACAGGAAGAGGAAAAGGTGAAAAGGGTGGATGGATGGATGGATGGATGGATGGAACAGGAAGAGGAAAAAAGGGGAGATGATGAAGGAAGGAAGGAAGGAAGGAAATCTCAAAGATGGAGTAAAGGAAATGAACAGGAAGAGGAAAAGGTGAAAAGGGTGGATGGATGGATGGATGGATGGATGGAACAGGAAGAGGAAAAAAGAGGAGATGATGAAGGAAGGAAGGAATATCAAAGATGGAGGACATGAAATGAACAGGAAGAGGAAAAGGTGAAAAGGGTGGATGGGTGGATGGAACAGGAAGAGGAAAAAAGAAAGACAAAAGTGAAAAGGATAGATGCATGGAACAGGAAGATGAAAAATGAAAAGGATGGATGGATGGAACAGGAAGAGAAAAAAAGAGGAGATGACGAAGGAAGGAAGGAAGGAAATCTCAAAGATGGAGTAAAGGAAATGAACAGGAAGAGGAAAAGGTGAAAAGGGTGGGTGGATGGATGGATGGAACAGGAAGAGGAAAAAAGAGGAGATGATGAAGGAAGGAAGGAATGAAGGAAGGAAATCTCAAAGATGGAGGAAATGAAATGAACAGGAAGAGGAAAAAAGAGGAGATGACGAAGGAAGGAAGGAAGGAAATCTCAAAGATGGAGGAAATAAAATGAACAGGAAGAGGAAAAAGTGAAAAGGATGGATGGACGGATGGATGGAACAGGAAGCGGAAAAAAGAAAGACGAAAAAGGAAAGAAGGAAATCTCAAAGATGGAATAAAGGAAATGACCAGGAAGAGGAAAAAGTAAAGAGGAAGGATGGATGGATTGAAGAGGAAGGAGAAAAGGAAATGAACAAGAAGAGGAAAAAGCAAAGATGAAGGGAGGAAAGCCACCGGCATCATGATACCGTGACTTGGCTGCTGTTCTGGAAAGGAGCGGCTTAGTCCCTCTGGCCGCTGTGCAGGACTTGCATCTGTCATTCCCAAGAAGAACAACTAATTCAGTATCGGCCGTCTGTGTGGTCTAAAATTCACATCCATCCCTGTTTACTGTACTCTCGGCTGGACGGGTTTGCTAGGTTTGCTTCCCACTTACTTACAGTAGCATATGAATGAATGAGCTAATGAATTAATACTGTGCTGGGCATTAATAATGCCCAGCCCTAATGGGCTTGTAAGACACCAATACAACAAACAAAATACCAGTTGTCAGGCAGTAGGCATAACATACATGAACCTATCTGAATAAACAAGTCTGCCGTCTCATCCAAGCTTTGCAAACAAAAGCAGCCAATTTAAACACATTAAAATTAAACAATGTCATCACTAATGGCTTTTTAACAAACAATTCACCAAATAATGCATTCCTAAAATCACCGTACCATTGGCAATATAACACAAAATGAGTTTCATTTTCAACCTCTCCTGATTCATACAATCTACAGAGCCAGTCCTCTTCAGGAGTTTGAGTGAACCTACCAGTTTCTAAGGCCAGGGATCGTTGGTTCCTTGTCAAATTTGCCTTTACATACAACTCTGTTTAATATGCATCTTTAATCCCTTAGCTTTGGCTTAGCCATAATCCCAATCAGCCATTTATGTTTAAAATTCGAAATCAAATTGGACCTGATGTTATAAACGCTACAGGGCAAATTATTACAGAATACGTAATGGAGTTGTACATCAGCAAAAACAGCCCAGGTGGACTTTTTCTTAATCCACAGAAAAACTTTTTTTGTTACTCTATTTTCAGGGAGATTAACCAGTCAATTCCACAGTCTAACCATTTCACATTTCCTTTGGCCTGATCCAGGAACCCAGCCCATATCACCCAGCACTGGGACCAACTAATGAACCCAGATGAAGCAGCGGATTGCACGATTTTCTACAGCGTTCAAGGCGGCCCCCCACACCCCAGCAGCGTAGTTTAACACACAGGACACACAGGCAGCACACAACTGACAGAATGTACCATAACCAAGATCTTTACGGATTTTTAACTTAATTGTTTATCACCGAACCCAGGGCTCTACTGGCTACAGGACAGGGGTCGG